GGTAGCTGGTAAGTTCGGCGAGGGCCAGAAACAGTCTGGTATGGTCCTCGAGCGAGCGCTCCCCCTGCTCCAGCAGGAGGAGGAGGAATTCGGGGCGAAGGAGGGGATCCATAGAAACAACGGGAACAAAATAACACACTGAGGAAAAAACGGAAACAAAAACGGAGGGAACACACGGAGGTAACTGTACTTGGTAAGGTCTTCTGTCACGTCAAGCTGTTGAGGGAACACGCTGGAGTCTCGAGGAAACGTTTAACGGTCTTTAATCACGAAACACAGGAGATAATCCACAATAGGAGCTTGAGCCAACACACGTAGAGAACGAGTAGACCTGACAAACACAAACTGAACAGACTAGGACTTAAATACACAGGGAAATGAGGATAATTAACTAAATTATGTTTCATTAACAAGGTTCGGGAGGAGCACGATCAGATAATCAATCAGTCTGGCCCAGGTGGAGCTCGTCAGCTAATCACCTTAACAAGCACAATACGTATATATACAACCAACTTACCTCTGTTCCATGACAGTTTTCCAGCATTAGGTTTTTTCTCCTTCCTCAAACACCCGCTGCTTTCCAGTGAAATTCTTATCATAATACGCTACCCATGGTGCGCCAGTGACTTTGAGAGATGAGATGGCGTTGTTGAAGCTCTTTTTTTCTAAGTTGTTGACATTGTTCTTGAATTCAGCTGTTCTGCCGTTGAAGCCCTCTTCGGTAAAAACAACAATCTTGCTCATTTTGAACAATAACTGGAGGAGATCAGAGGCTGGAGAAAGCAAGTGCTTCTTAATCAGCTTCCCGTGGCTCTTCTGGGAAAAGTGACTTAAATGGTGTGCAAAGCAGCCTTTTAAAGCAAAAAAACACCAAAGTGGGCGTTGACAAGGTTATGACAGTAAATGTAGGTCTGGCAGCTGAGAAACACACAGCTCTGAAAAAACACACAGCTGAAAAAAATGGTCATGTGTTCACTTTGACTGCTGCTCATGTCTTAGATGTGCTCTATACAAGTTACTTGACAAAGCTATATGGTAAAAACAAAACTAGACTTTTTAATGTGAAAAGTTTAGTTGTGCATGAATTAATTGCAGTTTCACAAACCCTGATGTTACTAAGTGATGTTTTATTAACAAATTTCTGGAGGAGCACGCGCAGATAATTAACACGGCCAGTCCATCATCAGTAATTACACCATCTATCCAATCAGCACAAGAGAGAACCTCTATAAATAATCAAAGCAGCCTTACCTCCATTATCTCTAGTCTTTCAGCATTCAGTTCGCTCCCGTTGCCATCTTATCACAGACCCAATTTCCCGTCCAACGAAGAGACCTATACTGAGGATTTTTTTTTTCAGATCCGCCGCAATTTGCCGGCCCCATGATCACTCCTTCCCCGCCAGACACGGCCGCCGAGCACCAGGCTTCATCGTGGCCGCCACTCTGCTCGACCAGCCACACGCTCTCCACAACGCCGAGGCTTAACTTCGCCTCCACCGGTGAGACTTCCAACTTCTTCCCCGACATCCTTGTATCATTCGGCCATGCCAACATATCCTCCGATCGGAAAGTGGATAGTATTTAAGCCTGAAGCAAATGCTGATTTATTCAGACAAACCATTCTCACGGAGGGTAAACAAAGCTGATCTGTATGATCTATTCTTCACCCTGCAAATTAGCCAAGGCGGCCAATAGATCGAGCAAAGCCTCGAACTCGCCTCGCTCGACACCCCCATCGTCCTGCACAAGACCCGGCTCTCCTCGAGCTTTGGGTCGCAGCGGCAGGCCTCAAACAAGCCTGGGCCGCACCCCAGTTCTCACCGCAGCAAAACTTCATTCGCTTCCCGCCTCGGCTCAACTTTTCACCGCGGCTCTTCCGGCCGCAGCGCCACATGTAGCCGGGCCTCCAGCTCTCGTAGCAGTCGCTAGCGCGAGGCTGCCTCCGCTGGCGTCGCAGGCCGTGTTGCTATTCAATTTTTAGGTAAAGTCGCTAAAGGTAGGTCGTTTTTTGTTAAAAGTTGTTAAACGACGTGATGACATTTTGGATGTTGATGTCATTTTTGTAACCATGATCCAAAACTGCGTAGAACACACAATGAAATTACTCAAATTTTCTGTATTAATTTTCACTAGCATTGTACCTGTATTTTAAATAAAGGTAAATATTTTACCTTCTCTTACTTCTAACCCTTCTCTCCAATCTAAACCTCAGCATACTTCATTCACAGCAGTCCCACTACCTACCCCACTGAATGCTGCAGCTCAGGAACCACCCCCTGTGCCTAATACCATCAATTCTCAGATTCTCACAGAAATTCAGAGCGCTGGCTCCGGAGACGGACCCATCGCCAACCCCAGTACCTCAATATTCGCAACTCGTATTCCCATAACACATCCCTTAAAACCTCTCCTCAACGCGTCACTCGGTTCGATCCTCCAAGCAGTTTCAGCCAGAACCATCCAATCTTATCTAACTGCTTGGAGATGATTTAAAGCTTTCCACCTCTCGTACAACCTGCCATTTCCTGATTTCTCCCCCCTCTCAATCACATCTTTCGTTTCCTACTTTAACACCTGTAAGGACCTCCAAGCCCGGTCCATTAAAGGTTATCTAAGCGGCATCCAATTTTTTTTCACAAATTAATCTACGGCGCCCCCTCTCCTGAAATAAACAATTCTCAAACATCTCTTTTGATCAAAGGAATTCAGCGCTCTCATTTGCGCTCACATTTGATACTGCCGCTGCAGTGCCCCGCTCGTTTGATACTGCCGCTGCAGTGCCCCGGTCATTGATACTGCCACTGCAGTGCCCCGCTTAATTCGATACTGCCGCTGCAGTGCCTCGCTCATTTGATACTGCCGCTGCAGTGCCCCGGTCATTTGATACTGCCGCTGCAGTGCTCTGCTTAATTTATACTGCCGCTGCAGTGCCCCGCTCATTTGATACTGCTGCTGCAGTGCCCTGCTTAATTTGATACGCCGTTTCAGCGCCCTGCTTAATTTGCCGTTTCAGCTCCCTGCTTAATTTGATACAGCCGCTGCAGTACCCTGCTCATTTGATACTGGCGCTGCAGTGCCCCGCTTAATTTGATACTGCCGCCGCAGTTCCCCGCTCATTTGATACTGCCGCTGCAGTGCTCTGCTTAATTTGATGCTACCGCCACAGTGCCTCCATCCGTCGTTTCGAGCCTAATGTCCATCGTTTCGAGCCCCATTTGCTTTTTCCGCATCGGACAGGGCTCTCCCTTCCAGTGCAGCAGAGCCGCGGCTCCCTTCGGTCGTAGTGAGAGCCCTCCATCTGACGCTTTAAATCACGCCACGCATTCAGCTGGCCTTCCATCGTGCTCCTTATTCGGCAGCAGGTAGGGGTTGCCATCCGACGTGGAGAGCCACAGCTCCCGTCAAGCACCGCAGGATCCCTCCCAGTCGCCCTGCCGCCTCCTCGCACACCCCACTTTTTCTTCACGGCACGCATATTTTTGGGGGGCTACTAACAATTTTCTCTCCGGCTGCTGTCTCATGCCATTAGCTTCTTTTGGGGAGTTCTCTGGGTTCGGGCTCTATCCCGAGCTCGGAGCCCTCCCTCTGGACAGCACGCCAAATATGCTACTAATTGCTCAATCATATTATATGTTAGTGCGAACTCGTGAAACGCAGCTGGAAACAAATGATGAAATAATCAGGGAACCTAATGGAAACAGGAAGGACCAAATAAGGAAACACAGGACCAGAAACGGGCAAAACACGACACAGAACAGTCCAGAATCCTGACAATATGTGACCCTGGAACACAAAACCAGTCTTAGGTCGCTTGGAAAGCTTATTTATTCAGCTTTCAGATGATGTATAAATCTAAATTTTGA